CTCTTTCTCTCCTCCTCCTCCTCCTCCTCCTCCTCCCGTTCTGTTCTGCTCCATGTGGAGTCAGCGTCAATGCCGCTGACTCCGAGAACAAACCGAATTCATGACTATCGCTGGCTTCACAGCACCAGCGCCGGCCGACGGAGGGGCCGCCCGAGGAGCCCCGCGCACGCGCGCCTGGTTCTCGGAGTCCAGCTGGTCCACCCGCGCGGCCTCGCTCGAGAGGGCGGCTATCTGGGCGCGGAGGTCCTGCGGGGAGGAGCGGCACCGCGCCGGTCCTCCTCCTCCTCCTCCTCCTCCTCCTCCTCCTCCTCCTCCTTCCTCCTCCTCCTCCTCCCTCCCTCCTCCTCCTCCTCCTCCTCCTCCTCCTCCTCCTCCTCCTCTCCTCCTCCTCCTGCCCCTCTTCCTCCTCCTCCTCCTCCTCCTCCTCCTCCTCCTCCTCCTCCTCCTCCTCCTCCTCCTCCTCCTCCTCCCCCTCCTTCTCCTCCCCCTCCTGCTCCTCCTCATCCTCCTCTAAATCCTCCTCCGTGCCTCTCTCCCACAACTCCTCCAACAATCCAGGGAAGGTCGTCCTTCCTCCAGCTTTTCCTCCTCACTACCTGCCATCTTCCCTCCCTCCCTCCCTCCCTACCTCCCTCCCTCCCTACTCCTCCTCCTCCTCCTCCGCCGACTACTCGGGGATGGGGACAAGGAGGGGGAAGGAGGAGGGAGCAGGGAGAGGACCAAGGAGGAAGCAAGAGAGGGGAGGGAGGAGGGAGAGGCAGAAAGGGAGGGAGGGAGGGAGACGGAGAAAGGAAAAGAGGGGGGACGGGGGCCAAGAAGAGGGGGGAAGGAGGAGGGAGGAGACGGAAGGGAGGAGGGAGGAGGCGAGAGAAAGGAGGACAGGACGAATAGGAGAAGTCAAAATCGGGCGCGGCCTTGCCAGCCCGTTCCGGGTCCAGCCCCTCGCCCTCGAGAGGCCTTCCCCCGCCCGCCTGCCCACGCGGAGCAAGGCGAGGGGGCCGTCCCTGGGGCCGAGACCAGTCCAGTCCAGGAGACTTTCGCTGGCCACAGAGCTTGAGGAGGAGGAGGAGGAGGAGGAGGAGGAGGAGGAGGAGGAGGAGGAGGGAGGAGGAGGAGGAGGAGGAGGAGCAGCAGGAGGAGCAGAGGAGGAGGAGGAGAGGAGGAGGAGGAGGAGGAAGGAGGAGGAGGAGGAGGAGGACGCGGAGGAGGAGGACGAGGAGGAGGAGGAGCAGTGGGTGAAAATGTGAACGGAAGCGGATGCCTTCAGCACGCCACCCTCGCCTTGACCGCCTGCTCCCACCTGCGAGCTGCACCACCCTCTCGGCGGAAGTGGTCCGCAAGTCGCTCATGGGATCGCCGCCCGTGATGCGCAGCAAGGCAAGGAAGCTGCCACACGAACGTCGTCACGCTGAGGCGAGAGCATGACTCGGAATTCCGAGCGCGGCTGGTGCTCGGGCGACTGCCCAACTCGGCGGCCAGCGGACCCCGCTGGGAGAAATGGGGAAGGGGAGGGAAGCTCCTGAACATCCTCCCTGTTCCCTTCCTCCTCCAGTGCTCTCTCCACCCTCCTCCTCCACCTCCTCCTCCTCCTCCTCCTCCTCCTCCTCCCCTCCTCCTCCTCCTCATCCCCCTCCTTCTCCTCCCCCTCCTGCTCCTCCTCATCTCCTCTAAATCCTCCTCCGTGCCTCTCTCCCACAACTCCTCCAACAATCCAGGGAAGGTCGTCCTTCCTCCAGCTTTTCCTCCTCACTACCTGCCATCTTCCCTCCTCCCTCCCTCCCTACCTCCCTCCCTACTCCTCCTTCCTCTCTCCTCCTCCTCCTCCTCCTCCTCCGCCTCCTCCTCCTCCTCCTCCTCCTCCTCCTCCTCCTCCTCCTCCTCCTCCTCTACAATTACTCAATATGAATACTACTCTCCCTCTTCCCCTGATGACGTCTTGGGAATATTCGCCCCCCCCGCATACTTTTTTTACACAGTGTGTTAAAAAAAGTGTGCGGGGGGGCGCGCTGTGTGACACAGCTTTCCCCAGTGTGGGTTTTCGACTGCATTTTTTCCCGAAATGCTGCTCTCGCTGAAGCGCCGGCCTTAATTTCGGGCCCCGCTCGTTCCGAATCGCGTTCCCGCTGCAGCGCTGGCATTATTTCCGCCGGCGCCCGGGCTGCACGCCCGAGCCGGCGCCCGGGCCGGCGCTCGGGCCGGCGCTCGGGCCGGGTCCGGAGCCGGTTCCGGCCGGCGCCAGAAAATCGAGTTCCGAGGCAGCGCCGAACAAAAGGCCATTCTAATACACATTTTTACCTAACAGCGAAGACTGATAGGTTTCTAGCGGTGTCAAAAAAAAGCATCTGATGACTCAGAAGGGAGGTCTGGGCGGCATCCGGACAGCGAGGGCCGGGCTCAGGGCCGGGCTCGTCATTCCCGGGCCACATTTTGAATGCCCGGAGCCAACTGTAAGCCACTTCGTGCTCTTCGATTTCCCAGAACTCCATTCCTGGGCCACATTTTGGATGCCCGGAGCCAACTGTAGGCTACTTCGTCCTCTTCGACTTCCCAGAACTCCATTCCCGGGCCACATTTTGAATGCCCGGAGCCAACTGTAGGCCACTTCGTGCTCTTGGACTTCCCAAAACACCATTCCCGGGCCACATTTTGAATGCCCGGAGCCAACTGTAGGCCATTTCGTGTTCTTCGAGTTCCCAGAACTCCACTCCCGGGCCACATTTTGAATGCCCGGAGCCAACCGTAGGCCACTTCGTGGTCTTCGAGTTCCCAGAACTCTATCCTGGGCATGATTTTGAATGCCCGGGGCCAGCTGTAGGCCACTTCGTGTTCTTCGAGTTCCCAGAATTCAACTCCCGGGCCACATTTTGAATGCTGAGGCAGGCTGATGCTCAGGCTGAGGCAGGCTGAGGCTGAGGCAGGCTGAGGCTGAGGCCGAAGCTGAAGGCCGACTGAGGCTGAGGCTGAAGCAGGCTGAGGCTGAGGCTGAGGCAGGCTGAGGCTGAGGCCGAGGCTGAAGGCAGACTGAGGCTGAGGCTGAAGCAGGCTGAGGCTGAGGCTGAGGCTGAAGCAGGCTGAGGCTGAGGATGAGGCAGGCTGATGCTGAGGCAGGCTGAGGCTGAGGCTGAAGCAGGCTGAGGCTGAGGCCGAGGCTGAAGGCAGACTCAGGCTGAGGCTGAAGCAGGCTGAGGCTGAGGCTGAGGCTGAGGCTGAGGCTGAGGCTGAGGCTGAGGCTGAGGCAGGCTGATGCTGAGGCAAGCTGAGGCTGAGGCTGAGGCTGATGCAGGCTGAGGCTGAGGCAGGCTGAGGCTGAGGCCGAGGCTGAGGCAGGCTCAGCCTGAGGCAAGCTGAGGCTGAGGCCGAGGCTGCGGGCAGACTGAGGCTGAGGCTGAAGCAGGCTGAGGCTGAGGCAAAGGCAGGCTGAGGCTGAGGCAGGCTGAGGCTGAGGCAGGCTGAGGCTGAGGCTGAGGCTGATGCAGGCTGAGGCTGATGCAGCCTGAGGCTGAGGCCGAGGCGGTAGGCAGACCGAGGCTGAGGCTGAAGCAGGCTGAGGCTGAGGCTGAGGCAGGCTGAGGCTGAGGCTGAGGCAGGCTGATGCTAAGGCAGGCTGAGGCAGAGGCTGAGGCTCATGCAGGCTGAGGCTGAGGCAGGCGGAGACTGAGGCCGAGGCTGAAGGCAGACTGATGCTGAGGCTGAAGCAGGCTGAGGCTGAGGCTGAGGCAGGCTAAGGCTGAGGCTGAGGCAGGCTGATGCTGAGGCAGGCTGGGGCTGAGGCTGAGGCTGATGCAGGCTGAGGCTGCGGCAGGCTGAAGCTGAGGCCGAGGCTGAAGGCAGACTGAGTCTGAGGCTGAAGCAGGCTGAGGCTGAGGCTGAGGCAGGCTGAGGCTGAGGCTGAGGCAGGCTGAGGCTGAGGTAGGCTGAGGCTGAGGCTGAGGCTGAGGCAGGCTCAGGCTGAGGCAAGCTGAGGCTGAGGCCGAGGCTGCGGGCAGACTGAGGCTGAGGCTGAAGCAGGCTGAGGCTGAGGCTGAGGCAGGCTGAGGCTGAGGCTGAGGCTGAGGCAGGCTGATGCTGAGGCAGGCTGAGGCTGAGGCTGAGGCTGAGGCAGGCTGAGGCTGAGGCCGAGGCCGACGGCAGACTGAGGCTGAGGCTGAAGCACGCTGAGGTTGAGGCAGGGGCAGGTTGAGGTTGAGGCTGATGCAGGCTGATGCTGAGGCAGACTGAGGCTGAGGCTGAGGCTGATGCAGGGTGAGGCTGAGGCAGGCTGAGGCTGAGGCCGAGGCTGAAGGCAGACTGAGGCTGAGGCTGAAGCAGGCTGAGGCTGAGGCTGAGGCAGGCTGAGGCTGAGGCTAAGGC